AACGATCGCTATTAACGAACGCACTGTACTCTATCACGTGACGCAAGGTATAGTTGCCCGGAAACGTGTCAGAGCTGTAGTCACGTGACCACATCGCTCCGTCGTCACCGCTCACGTGACTGGATGACGTTAACCGAGGTCACGTGACACGAATTGTAAGCGTCCGCCGTCCAACGTGCTACTCCGCGATGTGAACAAGGTTAAGCAATGGCGGCCTCCACCGTGCACAGTCGGTAAGTAATCCGATGAGTTTTCGCTTATAGCTCTTATTATACGCGTCGCCCCCAAATAATTCTATGTGTTTAGGACACATCTACTAGAGAGGCGTCTAAAGAGAGCAAAATTAGAAAAAATGGGCCCATGCAATAAGGATAAACTTTGTATACTCGATTGCTGTGTGATAAGCTCTTAAATATAAATTACAACGGTCTTCGTTTATGCAAGAATTACGTTAAATAATATGACATTTAATTGTTCTCTTATTGTCAAAGCTCTTAGAAAGTTAAATACAAATTAATTAATCACACTATAAATAATAAATTCGATTAAATCTGAATGAAATATAAATATCTGACAAGATTATAAGCGTGCAGTTCAGTTTTTATTTTTGATTAAGTAAATATTAAATCTATATAATATCAATTATTTAATGAAAAGTCGAACCCTTTACAATTATGGGTTAAGACGACGCCAGTCGGAAATAGCGTTTTTTCCGAATAATGCAATTTTTTTATTTGTCAAATTTAATACAATTGTTAAATCAAACAATAAATTAATGTTATACAAAAGGTATACTTTAAATAATTAACAAATTTTCAAAAATACTTACTTTTTACATTAGTAGTTTATCATTTCGGTTGCATGAATTTCGCAGTGTCTTGTAAGATTGCTGAAAATGCTTCGTTTTTACTGTTCTCTTTTCTCCACAAACTCGATTAGATACGAGTTGAGATAATTACGAGAAGTACCTCTTTGTACCTTGTTTCTCCATTTACAATTTTCCCATAACCTCTCTATGTTCTGAGTATGACATCCGGTATCCGCATCGACAAAGTTTAATTTGTGATTCACTTGATAATGAAAATATCCTGCTTCTTGTAATTCTTTGGTACTATAGCCTTTCCAACAATCCGAAAATATGGTTGTTCCTTCGTGAACGTGATTTTACACTTCCTTCAATAACGTTTCTGCCGAACGATCTGGCACTGGAACAAGGAAAGATTCCTTTGTCTCTCGATATAGTCCACCAAACACCCATTGTTGGGGTAAAACACGATCAACATTGTACTTCCGTCTTGTATACATCGTTTCTTCTATTTCAACTATCTTGTCAACACCGCTTATCTTTCCGTCACAACGAGTCATCAAAGAATGGGCGCAGACCTCCATTATCTAACTGTTCCAATTGATAGTTGTAGAAAAGTCAAGTCCTACTTGCATTTTACAAAATTCCAACGAAGAAAGTTCCAGTGACCAAATGTATATAAAACGCAAAGTATCAAAGAAGGATATACGTGACCCGAAAAACCAGATATCTCTCCTAATGCCCTTTTTCTGTCGACACGTCCTGACATGGCATCTCCATTTCGGAACTTCTGTTTCAGAAAAATACACTCATTGAATGCTTATTCTTGCAAATACGTTCAGAACGTAAAATTCCTTTTTTCTGAAACAAACTAATAGCTCCACGTTCGGTAAGTCCCAAAAAGTATATTCCATTTTCAGATCTTGGTAATGAACGTGATAATGAATCTCACAATCTAATACAACGAGCAACTTGCACATCTACTTTGCATAATCGCACGAGCGAGTCATGACGTCAAATCTACTTATTTGAAAGAACGATTACAGATAAAGCGTAAAGTAACGACTTAATAACGTAGAAAAAATAATTATTACATGCAATAGAATAATCAAAATAGCCACATTCCACGATTTATAAAGATTTAACAAAATTTCACACATTCTAATAATAAACCACTTAAATATGCAAATTATTTTGTAGAGTATACGGCAAATATGGCAAAAGGTGATATCTATAATCATCCTAATTGATTTTTTTTCATTTTTAAAACCTTAACAGTAAATTTTCTTCTTTTAGATTTAAATTTACTAGTCTATTTTTATTTTGATATTTTCATTCAAAATCGCGACTTTGATAGCAATTTCCGACTGGCGTCCTCTTAACCCAGTGGTTCTCAAACTTTTTCTGCAATGGAGCCCTTTTATATTATTTGTAATATAATGGAACCCTTATTTAAATTAATACTTATTGTAATAAAAGAAATTTTTTATTTGAAACACACTTATTGTAAATTAGAATATCAAATTTTAGTGAGATGAATTCATCTGTTTTTCTTGACATAAGTAACCTCTGGAAATTTGGTTTTATACTTGATAACTGAATTCTCATATCTGGGGCGGCATCTAGTCTGCTTCGATACTTAGTTTTCGTACTAGCATATCTTGAAAATCCTGATTCACACCAATATGTTGTCATAAAGGGCAAAAGAATTTTTATGGCCTGTTTGGATATTTCAGGATATTCTTCAAGTAGATTTCCCCAGAATACATCTAACGGCACTTCTTCAAATTTAGCCTTTAACTGAGTATCGGATGTAATTTATATTACTTTCTCATAATCCACTGCCAGAAATCCTGTTGGTTTTTTGTTACTTTGAATGAATTTTGTACCCAATAATATTCTTTGTACTCCAAGTTAGGAAAATACTTGGTAAGAGATGTGGATAAGCTGTTGCGATTATCTATAATTTCATCGAGTGTCTCTGCGTCCAATTCCATTTCAGATTCTTGTAGAAATTTAGTAAGTGGAAAACAGTCAAAATTACCGTGCTCTACTTCTGAAATCCAGTACTGTAATTTACGAGTTAAAGATATCATATTATCTTGAGTTCAAAAAATGTTTGTTTCCTTTCTTTGTAGAGATAGGCATGTTTCATTCAACTTTGAAAAAACATCTGCTAAATATGTAAGTTTTGCACGCCATACATTATTTCTTAATCTGTCAGACAAATTAAATTTATGTTCAAGAAAGTAAAACTGCAATTCTTTTATCAATTCAACCATTCTCACCAGCACATTTCCTCTCGAAAGCCACCTTACTTCTGTTTGTAAAAGAAGAGTCGTTTAATGGCTATCCATATCTTCGCATAAAGCTTTAAATATTCTTGATTGTAATGGCCGAGTCTTAATAAAATTGATAATTTGCACGGCTTCGTCCAAAACTACTTTTAATGAAGCAGAAATTCTTTTTGTCACTAATGCATATCTGTGAAGAATGCAGTGATTACTGCTGAAGTTTTTTGTAACATTTTTTATTCTAGTTACAGCACCAGATAATTTTCCCATCATTAGCCTTCGCTCGATCATTGCACATTGAAATGCATTTATCCCAACCAATATCATGATTTGTTATATAATTATCAACACAATCAAATATATCTTTTCCTGTGATATGAAGCTCTAAACTTTTACAGAAAAGCAAATTGTCCTCAATTATTGTATTGAAGTCATATCTAACAACACAAGTAGAATTGCCAGTCCAGCCACATCTGTAGACTCATCCATTTGCAACGCGTAAGCATCACATGCATGCAATCGTGAAATAAGTTCAGTTTCAATGTCATCAGAAATATCAGCAATACGTCTGGACACTGTATCATTAGATAGACAGTGGCGTAGCCTGGGTGTCAGCCGCCCGGGGCGGAGGAAAATTTCGCCGCCCCCTTATTTAGGTATCTAAATTTAAAAGGCTAAAATTCGGTTTCGTCACAGAATAAGTAATGAAAAATTCCGTGCTAGTGTTGCCACCTTTTTAAAATCGCTGACCCGGACGGCAGGTGAGGTTTGTTGGAACAGAAGTTCCTGACGCACGCGTATGTCATTTTGCAATGCGAAGAATAATATGCAGCGCATGCCTGTTCTAAATCAGTTACAATTAGCGACTAGGGAGACTTGGGTAGGAGTAACGTAAGTAACCTAGATGACCTAGCTGTATTGGATATTGGAGGTGTATATATACAGTAGATCCCACTATAAGACGGTAGATACGTTCCGTTTTTTATGAATCAATTTTGTAGGAATCACAGCCCGACACGTGTGAAGTTTACGGACTACGGCTGTTTGAAAAGTTTTCTTCCATAAAATTAATCGATTCTAGACTAATTCGACTCAACATTTCCAAAATACGTATATTGGAAATAATCCGTATAAACTACGCTATAAAACAAAAAATTGTAGGATTACTTACCGAGTATGCACCATTCGACATCGCCATTGCTCAAGCTTGTTTTCGTCGCGGAACAGCTCAGCAATCTTTCAATCAATCAATCTTTTTTTTTATTAAGGCACTATAGAAGTACATGCCCGGTACCGCGAGGCATAGCCGGGCTACAAAAAAGATAACAGGTGAATTACAAAGTGTGGGAATTTATGCAATGCATTACAGCAGTTGAATGAGATGTAATAAAATAATACAAAACAATAATCATTAAAACTAGTGAAAAATACAATAAAAAAAAACAGGCGAGAGTATAATAAAAACTAAATTACAAATAACTATAGAAAAGGTAAATAATCAGAATTAGCATGTTTACACAATGGTTACATAATAAAAATAGTGAATAGTACAATATATGAATATTATGAAATGACTGTGGAAAATAATATAAACAAAAGTATGTACATATATGCAGGCAATGGCTGCAAGTGATACAAAATATTACAGGTAGTAAGTACAGAGAATGGTTACTGGTTGGAGGTGGTAGTTGAGATAACACCGTGTTTTTTCACAAGCGCATCGAAGGCTGTATACAGTTCTTTGTTCTGAAGAAAGTCCTTGTGGTGGCATGGCCAGGGGATGTTATTTTTGGAGGCTATTAGCTTGATGTTCGAACGTTCTGTTTCCAGGCACACACAGCTGAAAATGTGATGGTCAGCGTCATCAACTTCATCACAAATGGCACACAGTGGGGTGTCCTTGATGGCAACCCTGTGAAGATAACTGGAGAACTTTCCATGATTTGTTAGGAACTGACATAAGTGGATATTGAGCAGTATCCAGTTGAATTTGAAGTAATCCTTAATGTCCGGAATGTAACTAAAAGTAGTGATATTGTGGTTGTCACTCCATTTGCGCTGCCAAGAGTAAAGAAGATCTTCGAAAAGCAAGTTTTTAATGGCAGAGTGACTGATCCTGTCATAGGCTATGTCCAAGGAGTCATTGTTGGCTGCTGCCTTTGCCAGTTGGTCGGCCCGCTCATTTCCAGCAGTACCCTGATGACCACGAGTCCAATTAATGTAGAGGTGGTTTGTTGAGTTGCTGAGGTGCTTTCTGATGTTAGTTGCAATGGGGTGTTGTTTTTTTCTGTTAATGATGGAAAGAGCAAAAAGACAATCTGTGAGTATGACTATAGTTGCATGTTTGTCGTGCACTGAAACCCAGTTGGTGGCCTTGTCAATAGCAGTTAGCTCTGCCTGAAAAGCAATACAGTGGTCTGATAACCTGTACTGTTCACTGTGAATTTCATGGTCGTCCTGGTAAGCCTCGAAGGCACAACCAACCCTGCCGTCAAGTTTTGAGCCATCAGTAAATATTTGGACATCGCTGTACTGCGGAGGATTGGTGTTTAGATAGTTGTGGACATATGGAGGAATGGTGTCAACAGGATTGTTTCTTTCAAGCTGATTAGAAGATGTTGCAGCTGAATGTGCTGATATTATGACCCCATTTAAGGCTCCAGAAGTTGTAGTAGAGGTTGATGATATCCACAATAGGTGGCTTGCGAGTAATGACTTGTAGGCTGACGTTTGGTGTTGTTCTGTAGGCCTTTGAAATAAGTAGAAGGGCCCTGCACTGGGAAGAGATAAGTTTTCTTTTGAGGTGGACTTTATGTGCAGCCCACCCCCAGCTACCACAAGCATAAGTGACAATGGGTACATATATCTGGTTGTAGATAAGGCTGAGAGCATCGGATTTTAACCCCCATTTGCTCTTTGCAATCTTTGCAAAAGCATTGAAGATTTGACCAGTACGTTTAGAGATGTCTGATGTGTTCGTCCCAGCTCAGGCGGTGGTCCAGTAGCACACCCAAGTACCTTATAGATTTCACAACCTTAATACTCTTGTCCATTTTAATGGTGGGCACGCGACGGTAAAGGTTGGGGTTGCCTGGTTTGTTTATCACCATTGCCCTGGTTTTATCAGGGTTAAAGTGGAGTTTATGCTTTTGACCCCATTCATGAATCATGGCTAGGGTTTCAGTTCCTTTTGTTTCCAAATCTGCTCAAAACCCGCCACCAATGAGTATAAGAACATCGTCAGCATAAGCGGTGGTACTGTCCTGGCCAAAGTTCTGGGACAAGAAAGTGTTGAAAGTAAGGTTCCACAACAAAGTGCCACATACTAACCCCTGAGGGCAGCCGCAGAGAATATTTCTGCGTATGGCGGTGGTTCCATGTTGAAGGTATGCACTACGATTGTTGAGGTAGTCTTTGAGAACATTATAAATATTGGCTGGGCAATTTGTCATTTTTAGCTGATAGAGAATAAGTGGCCACCAGGCACCGCAAAAGCTTTGCTGATGTCCAGGCTGATGGCTAAGACATATTTGTGAGAATTGAGTAAACCATTGATATTTTGGACTGCATGATGGATGGCATCAGTGGAGGAGCGCTAATGTCTGAAACCAAACTGGGTGTCATTAAGAACATGATTGTTCTCTACATGTCAGGTTAAACGGTCTGTAATCAAGCGTTTCAGTACTTTACCAAAGACAGGAAGAAGCGAGATAGGCCTTGAGTTATGTGGGCTTTCCGGTTTTGGGACTGGGACAATTTTAGCTGTTTTCCATCCAGCAGGGAAAATGCCATAGTGTAGGCAACAGTTGTA